AATGTGAAGATACAATGATGTAAGCGAGGCACGACAAGGTGCATTTTGTATGTTTGGGAGTAGCTATGAAGAGGGTGAGTACATGGAAAGCAAGTATGCTCAGAAAACAATGCTCCTATATGACGATGATAAAAAGAAAGTGCTGATTTGAAGAAGCTAGGAATTTACTCATCCCAATGTATCTGGAGCTAAAAGCTTGATTTTGTTGGTCATTTGGAGGGCACCGGATCGATACGAAATCTTCGGCCAACGGGAGGATCATGAGGCGCGGTCTTTGCAATCTGACTCAATGGAATCGAAGAGTTCAAAATATCCCAACGTGAGTATCGGCCGGTCGCAAACATAAAAAAGAGAAAGATAAAAATCTTTTACTTCAAATAAAGCAATATATTAATATCGTGTTTATTATTATAAATTCACCATTATTATTTTCGATGTGATCATTGTAATTTCATGATATTGTTTTTGGAGTATAGGATATCCGATCCGAGTTAGCATGTCAGACTTGGGAGGTTGTTGTCACGTTGTGGTCCTTACGGGGAGGGATATAGAATGTGTGAGTCATTTGGAAAAGCAGTGATATAGATAAATCGAGCGGTACTTCTCTGACTACGTCCACATACACACACACACACACACGCATACAGATGAAAACGATGTTCGATGTATCGTTTCAAATAAACCCCAATACGAATCACTCTTCTATGTGGTCACCATGAGAAACACTGATACAGTATTCCGGTCGACTACTATCGTCCGAATTTCTTCTTTTTCTCTTCCGCTTGTATTCAGAACTAATGAATGGACCAGTGATGGTTACTATTGGGGTAAGAATGGATGTGTGTGCGTGTGGGTGGGTGGGTGGGTGGGGATGGAGGTAGGGAACACACACTGGGTTTTAGTCTCTCCGAATATTCTTGACTATTTATCCCGTATCACCCGGTCTCACTCAATGTCTCATGATGCGTTACCAACTTTTCGTCTCGCCCGGTCCTTTCTTGTCTCACAACGTGTCATGCAATGTTTCGTATTCCACCAAAGCGTTTTTATTCCCATTGTCACATATAAATTCACTTGAGTCCTTCGGTGTCTAGCACCCGGAATTTGAGCGAGTTTGGGGAAGGGACGCACAGAGAGGGGGGGAGATGGGCTGACTGTGATAGGGCTGCTCATACAACGGCAGCATTCTCCACAGTATCGGCCGTGGCGGCTATGGCGACGGTAAAGACCAAGACGACAATGTTGATGACATTGACGACAGGAGAAACAGCCGTGACCACTTTGTTCAACCGTGACCAAGCATACTGCGTGACATGGCAAAGCCGAGGCGCGCTTGGATACGTTCTTCTTCCTTCACTCGCTCACATACAATTTCACACGAGCTTAAGAAGCTTGTGATGTGTATGTGCGTGTGTGTATGCGTGGTTTGTACGGTTTGAACACGAACCGCGTGAGCACCTTCATCAACCATCCCCACTACGGTTATCATGCCTCTTCAACAAGGCACTTAGTTACTAACTCATTGCTCTTGTTTCCCCACTGAAACCTGTCACGATGGAAACGTATCGAATATTTATATGAAAAGTTGATGATTGGAACGTACATATGTGCACAAACTTTCTATCCTCCCCCCAGGTCCGGTGCACCAAAAAATCGTGTAAAATTCGGTTCCCAAATTTGTCACTATCCCTAGCAAGTCAGTCGATTCGCGTGACCAGTGCCTATCTATCGTTCATGGGCTGATCGGGCAAACACTGGGCAAAAACAGTGATGCTTGATCAGTATACAAGGAAGGATACGACCAGAAAGTAACAGTTTTGTCACTAAGGGGACTGACTCAAGATCAGTTTGCTTTCGTTCAGTTCGAAGGTGCACACAGTCAGAGAAAACTGTGAGCATGGTTTATCGTCTTATTTCCTAAGGTCGACAGAACTCAAATAAGAAACAAATTAGATTTCAAAATTCTCATTGGATTATCGTATTAGATATTAAGCACAGAAGCCTAATCTAACCAGATCGACAACATAAAACAAATCGCGCAACCAACCGCTTAAATTATCAAAAGTAAGAAAAAATAACTATACGGTTTATGGATCTGAAGGTCTACTTCGACCAATCAGTATCATCTTTGACCGAAACAATACTTGTGTTCCTGCAGGCTACCAGTCCGGAGAAGAAATTATACATTGACAAATAAAATTGGAGGAAACCAAGCACAGTGATTAGTCAAGAAGTCAATTTGGCAAACAAGCTCGTTTTCGGTGCCTCATTTACTGGTCAAATACTGCAGGCACTCTTTTATAGGTCACAAAATCACATCTTTCAAGGAAATAGGAAAAGCGTAAATAATGTCTGTGTTTGTATGCGTGTGTATGGATACTATGGATAATATAGTAATATGTATGAGAGTTTAAATCATTTCTCAAATATCATTTGTACTGTCGAATGAATCGAATACATAAACGATTTGACACTCATTTGATAACCGGCTTTATGTCACTCTAGCGTTTGTGGCTGGCCATGGTAAATCCAGAGCTTTGACTGACTGTTTTTGAACGCACAATTGAGAGGAGGAGGGAGGGGGGGTGTTCAACCGAATCGCAATCACTCCGGCTGTTGACAGTAAACAATGCTTAATCTGCCTCGATCTCGATTAGTGTTTGTTGGTGAACAGTTGACGACCTGAAGAATGCAATTAAGTGTCGAATAGTGCTGAACTTCTAAGTCTAATAGGACATTGGAAAAGTCGAGCATTTGGGTCATACAGTTAACAAAACATTCTCATTTTATCTGACATTTTCATTGGTGGTTTTTTTTCGGTAAAATTATTCACACACGACAAACAGGGTTAGTAGTGAGCAGTTTTTGCCGGAATAAATTTGCGCTTCTTTATGTTGTGCAGAATAGAATGCGTGTTCGAATTCCTATTTAGAGTGACGAAAAAGCTGGGAGATAGTTATTACCTTGCAACGGAACAGCGAATCATTTGTTGATCAAAATATTTGCCACCATCCACTTGATATGAAACAGTGCGAATTTTAAGCTGTTTTTGACACAATTTTCGTTTGTCTTGAAAAATTAAATTATCTCTGTGGGGATAAACGGCAGAAAGCAACAGAGCTTTCTCAGTCGGATTGGTGGTGAGGACTTAAACTCCGGGATTGTGTCGAATCTGCGTCATTAGACATTTGCCGGACAGTAAGCAAAGCCACCTGCAGTGGTTGATTTGGCGTTTGCAGCGAGATTAGTAACCCAAATGGAAGTTCAACCGGTGGACTGCGTTTCAGTCCAGGCAAGCCGGCTGAAGCGGATAACTTACAGACTAATACGTGAAGTCTCTGTGCCATTTGACGCAATCGTTTTGTAATGGAATAGTGAATCATATGTTGATCAAAATTTTTTTCATCAGCCACTTGATACAAAACAGTGCTGTTTTGATACAATCTTCGTTTGTTTCAAAAGACTCAAATTGTGATCTATGTGGGGACAAAGTGCACCATGCAACACTGACTATTACTTGACGTTGGATCCGGACTGTTGAATTGGTTTCATGGCTCAGTTGGTAGAGTGTATGCTGTGCAGAAACGTAAAGTGTCCATGCGTGAGTTCACATCTCATTGAGGGAACTGTTTTTTTTCTATAGTGACATACTGACACCAGTTACGCACTGATGAAGTATTCATTTCTAGATCAATCACACAAAAAATGCAATTGCTTTAGCCTACATGTTATTTTATTGACTGATAAATTAACGCATCCCAGTGGTTTTCAGCTGGATTTTTTTAGTGATTAAATATTAACGTCCTTCTACCCCAAACCCCACATCACCCCGTTGTTTGTCTGCATCTTAAACCTGGACCAGAACATTGAATATATTCTGTCCTTGAAAATATAAATTCGTCGAGAAATGTGTTAATCAGCAGTTCACTAACAATTATTTTAATACAAATTTAGGATTTCTGATATTGAGATTTCAGGAAATCACGGAAGAATGTAGTCACGATATTATAATTATTATCCACATCTGCTCATCAATTATGAAATTTTTGACTTGCAAGTTTTTCACTGATATTTGAACAATGCGAACAGTTGTTTTTAAGCACCAAATTATGCACCCATACTGTCAACAAACTTTATTCATTTCATTAATGAATTTTTCAATCTTTTGTTATTATATCTCGGAAGTATTGCTGTTAAAACATTATCCAAAATGAATTGTTCTTCCATGTTATTGTTGGTCAAATTATGGAATAATGTGAAATAGCTCAAATGGCGTCATTTTTGTGAGGATAAAACACTTAATTTACTTCATATGGATTTCACTCGGCGCAATTTTTCGCTTTGCTGGGTTCAGTTCGATTAATTGATACTGTTGTAGTGTAATCGATTGCAGGGAGAAATCCGGACGACATCTGATATTTGCGGGATATCAATTTTCTTTTGCAATCTCATTGTATGTTCACATTGTTGTCTTAGTATCAACGCATTATGGCCTTTGTTTAGCACATCTGGTTTATAATGTATCCATTCGCGCGAGAAATTCCACGTTTCTCTTTCAGTCCGTTTGCACGGTATTGCGCTCGTTGATCTTCTCTGCCTTTGTGTTTTAACTCAGACTTTTGTTAGCACATACCGATACATCCCCTGTATTACATGGGGCAATCATGAGTCTTCGATTGTAGCCTGTAGTAACTTGGGATCAGACTGGTGTTTCGTCACGACTGGCCCTGGTCGACGCACTGCGTTGGTAATCATACCAACTGGTAACAATTATTCTTACAAGCTTTGAAATGGATCGGATCGTGTGTGGGGGTTCTGCATTATTCATATTTGATTCTGGCCGACCGCCTGGCTCAGTTATTTATGATCGTGCAAACTAATGGAATCCTGTTCACAGTAGATTAACTCTAATTTTTCGATTTCATGGTTGTACTGTAGTTCTCCATAAAATCTCATCTAAAATTACAACATGCTTCCAACGTTTTCCTTGCAAAAAGATTATGACAAAAGCAAATCATCTTGAATATCATATGGTGAATTTCGAGAAGTACAGATTAAATGAAGCTGGTGCTGAGATGAGCAAAGTGTATGATGCCTGCACACAAGCTCGCAAGGATGAGCTATGCTGTATCATCTATAATAACAATGAAAAACGTTCTAACCAGCTGCCCGGTGGTCAGTTGGATAACATGCTTGCGCTCTGCCTGTGAGGTCCCGAGTTTGATCCCTAGTTGGTTAGATGGATTCGCACAGCTGATGAGATCCAACTACATCGAAACAGCTCTCCAGTGATTCCTTGCTTTTCAGTTCACGGTTCGTTCGCTAAGTATACAGCAAAATTCACCACATGATCCAAACAAATCCTCCTTGCTGTAATTTTGGTTATCATATAAGCACAGAGGGTTTGAAACCAGGTATACAATTTACAGATTGAACAATTCAAACAACGTAGAACTGAAACAGGGATTTGCCCAAGTAAAAAGATAAGTTACAAATTTCACTTCTAACGATCCAATAGTAGCAACGTCTTGTATTATTTTATTCAGTCGATCATTGAACAGTTGATTATCATTAGGAGTTTGGGGTCAATGATCGGCAATCGAGGAACGTGATGAACTGGGTAAGTTATACTGCCCACACACAGGAGTAGAATAACAAGCGAGGTTTGCACCCACGTCAACGACAAATTGGTAATTCTGATGGTACAAATAAGGGTTTGTACCTGTTAGGAGTTATTTGGAATGAAAGTGCAAAGCACCATGTAAAATTAAAGGTGGTGGTTTGAATCTGTTTTGTTTCAGCCTCGATCAGGACCACTGATTTCCGTGCTGACTGCAACAATCCGATTCTCAGTTAAAACTATTTGACTTCCACAATGAATATTTTATAAGAAAATTTGTCAACTCTCATGAAGAAAATTTCGTTATATTTCATGATGGGATGATTTTCAATTCACCGGCATTCATCAGGAATGACAGTGTCGGATCGTATTTCATCGTCCTATATGATAGCCAGACTGGAAGATTTTCAAATAACCAAATGGCTTCCTAAATAATTTGTGGCATTCGGATAAGCGATCAGTACACAAATTGTGGTGTCGATAAATTCGCATATACTAAAACCAAGACAAGCATCATCAATGTGACCATTTGCTCATAGTATTCACTGTGGTTCGCGTACCTCAGTGGTTAGGGTTTTGTCTCCCAAAAGGAAGGCTCGCAATTCGAACCCTCCCAAGGGCGCAAAAGCGGCACGCAATGCCGACTAGTCCCGTTAAGGGCAAAAACGGCATCCAGCGGTCTTTTAAGACTACTACAATAACGAAGGAAAGGAACAATAAACACACAGATACGTGCTAATTTTAGCTTCTGGAGATTCGGATGTAATAGAACAAATGCTCAAAAATCCAGTATTCATCTGTTGATGTGAATTCTGCAATAGATCGAAAAATATTAGTAAAATGAAACTTGTTATCAGAAAAAAATTGATTCCCCAGATGCTTGAAATCACAAGAAGATTCTTTGCCATGATTGTGTTTGTTTACCAACATTGGATGCTAGAAACGGACCTAGTTGTCAATGCAAGTGCATTGCAAACAGCCCCAGTCATTATTTTAGTAGCAACATGCACCCGTCTTCATCTATTTCATTTCAAAGCACGCAAAACACACTTTTCGGGATATCGTCTATTGGGCTGATTTCTGCGAAACTCCTCACGCATAGGATACATAAAAATTGAAGTAAATACTTCATCTTTGTTGGTAAATTCATTGAATTCGGCGAGGATTTAGTCCAGTTATTTCACAGGTTCAGTTGTCAACCAGTTGAACATTGAATAGCTTTTGTACGACAATTCATTTTAACTCGATTACCGGTAATGCACAGCCCATCTCTGAAAACGCATTAAATGTTTAGATGATGAGTGTTTCGAATTGCCCATTCGGTTTTTACAGGCACCAGGCATTGTTGATCTGGGGTGTGTGCCACTCCTTGGGAAATCATTAATTTTCCACAAGTTACATTCGGTTAAATGTGATGGAAATCTTTGTGATGACCAACAGAGAGCACTGGATAGCTGTTTTGTTTCTGTTTTGGACTCGCGATGGGGAATTACCGATCTCTCAAGGAGTGGAACCCACACAGGAGCATAACACCTGCAATCAATCAAATGAGATCATTGACACATTCACTATCTAAATTGATTAATCCATTCGCGCAGAATGATTACAGTGGGCCTCAGTAGTAGGCTGTTTAATCCGCACCCGAAGATTCGCGATGTGGGTCCTGACAGGGACACAAAATGTGTGCACTGCTGACGAGTCCCAAACAGGACGAAACAGTTGTCCACAGCTCCCTGTCGGTTATCACAAAGGTTTCCCTCGCATTTAGGTGTATTATTAATTGTTTAATAATCTGTCAGCTAATAAAAATATAAACGAATACAAATTCTGAATAAAGGAGTATAACGTTATTAACTTCCTAATGTAAAGCGCAAAATACTTGCAGCCACTTGAGGAACTGCATCGAATGCAGAGCAGATCGAGCTGAAAAGCTTGGATGCCCTGTACAGGTGTGGCGACTTTGTTAGGTCTTGTTAACAGTTCGAATCCATTGTCCCAACTGAGGATCTCATAAGTAGAACACAAGCATCTCACCCATTTCCTAGGGACCATCAGACAGATGATCAAACTGGTTCACTTATTTACAAATAATATAGCAGAATCGATCTTCGCAAGCTTCTAGCAGACATCTAACCTGGCGTTCACGAGAATACCAGCCCCCAGCGGTTTAGGGATTGATCATTACACTGTGAACCGGATTTTTTGTCAGTATATTGTTGTGTGGTTGGATTTAGTTTTTATTTCTGGGTTGATTTCATTCACCAATGGACATAATTATTGGTCCACAATCAATGTCTTTTGTACTTCTAAGATAGCTTACGCATTCATTTTACAAGTTTGTTGCAAACGATCTGGCTCAGTTTTGTTCATTTGCCGTTCACTGAAACATCTGATCATCTTGTGACGACTTGATTGGAGGCATTGCATAATTACACCACAGGTTTGGCTCTGAAACTTAAATTTTATTGATTACATTAGAAAAATAGTTCAGTTTTTACTAGGATTTTGAACTATTCACATGGGTTCCACACCACATTTCGACATTATTGGTCGATTTTCCTGGAAAACGAATATTCTCATTTAGCCGGACATTATATCCATTTACGAGGTGTTTGATTTTGGATTCGTTAAGAAACAAAATAGGATTGAGCGACAAGCAGTTCCATCGCTCATCAAATTTATTTTCACTTGAGCCCTAGAAGGTTTATCATGACATTTTGGTCGTGCGGTGCTTGTGATCGATTCGCACCATACTCACTCGGATGCATATTTGGGGGGAGGGGTAAAATTGTCGAATTATGCATTACATTCAGTGAACCAATAGTCATGAGATCAACCCCAAGAATTATGGCGCCCATTTCCGGAGTTCTTTGTTCCAAGAAAAAAATTTAGCATGATTATTCTCTCGTCAATGGTTTTTCTTGAGGTGAAAATTGGTGATTATTTTCTTTGAAGCCACTGTACCACCCCGAGTAATGCAGTGCACATACCGAAAGTTAAAAGGACTCACGAAAATTCATGCTCCAAAAGTCGCCCCCGACTCTCATCCTCTTACTAAGGCAAAAAGTGATACGAATCACGTTGACATTTGAAATGGACTGACCAACGATTGTCAATTAATTTTTTGGATTTCAACCTGATATATTTTAAGTACTTAAAAAACCACCGTGTGTATTTTGCATATTAAAAGATAAGTTGTACTAATATAGAAAAAAAAACATTTGGAATTGACCATCCTCTTGACCTTCCGTTCCCGGTTCATTCATTGAGCCATACCTCGCAAGATGCAATAGACTCGAGTTTTGTCCTCAAGGAAGCTCTCCTCTACACATTTGGACTTTGAACTGCGAGACATTCGTCTGAAGGTCTTATATACAAGCATTGACCACGCTCGTGCAACACCCTGACTTCCATCACATTTTTTCCTCCTAACGCTTAGCTTTTCCAGCCTCATTCATGGGATTGAATATGCTATTGACTCACATCAGGCGCAACATNTCGTAATAATTTCCATCTATGTCTGCTTCTATTAATTGAATGTCAATAAAACGTACGATTTCCCAATTTTGACGAAGAGTGCTGGTGCACCAGTTGTAAAATAACAGAGACACAGTAAGAGTACAACTAGAAATTATTTATCAAAATGACTCAGACTTTATTCAGGTATTGCACTTTCATTTCGTCCATACTCTATCTACCCTTCTCCATTTTTGAGCACTGGAGGTAGTCGCTTTGAACGGAGTTCACCAATTTGATTATGCAACAGAATTTGCCAGTTTCCTCTAGTACATGCCGCACCCTAACCACTGACAACCACTGTCGAGACAGCTAACTTATTCTTGTTTCTATCACAGAGAGAGGTTTTGGAATGCATTTAAACACCCATCCGATTTGGGGATGATGACACTACAAGACTCTTATTCAATGAGCCGCACGCCGCAAGGTCCACTTTCGAAGGTCAGCTTGTATGTTTCTTGGAATATATTTTCAGTTCTTTCAATATTGGGGATAATGCGTGAGTAGTTGGTAGCCAAATAATTTATCAATTTATTTAAGCTATTGCTTTCATTAATTGGTTTATTTACCATACACTGAATCAAAATAGGTATGCAATTTAGAATATGTGTGTTCAGATTAACAATCAATCTGATGAAACAGAAATTATTCTTGAGAAAGATTGAATCTCCATAATGCTTTGCATGAAATATTTTCCAAAACTGAGCCGTAACTTTTGAACTACTACAAATTTTATCGCAACACTCAATGTCGCGCAAATTCAAACGGTGAGAGAAGAGAACGAAGAACATAGAAGTAGGAGGTAAGTTAAGGAATAAATACACTTCACCCATAGCCATCAATATTTAAGTAGGATATTGTAAACTGAAATGTATTTCCAAAATGAGAGTGATGTTGCACAAGTTTGGTCGACACCTGCATTAACAGTTAACCAGTTCACATCAGGACCAGCAGGGATCATTGGTTTAAGTTTGTTCAAATATCGCCTTCAATGAAAGTTCTTCAGTTCATCTTGTGAATAAACTGGCTTTATTTAATCTAGCTCTATGGGTTATGAGAAATACTTTGGGATGT